CCCCCCCCCCCCCCCCCCCCCCCCCCGGCGCCTAAAGATACGCCGACAAGGTTTCCGTTATCAGCCTAGACTTCTGGGGCCTGCTGAGCCAGAGCTGCTGGTTCCAGCCCGACTTCCTCAAGCGGCTCGTGTTCACCACGCTGCTGCCGCTCGGCATCGTGGCCGTCCTCATGGCTCAGTACGCCAAGACCGTCAGGTGTGAGCCAGAGAGGAGACAAGGAACGCGCCCGTGTGTCCGCCGTTGTAGGCTGCTCCATAACACGAAATCCATTTGAAGATATCTGCAGGCCTTTACGCACTATGTCGGTACCAGTGCCATTAGCTGCACGAGCGTATGTCTTCATCATGGGTGCATGTTCTCACAAGCCCCTCTTTTTTTTTTCCTCTGTTTTTTTTTGGCGGTAACCATAATGATGGTCGAGTAGATCATGTTGTGCGGGGTGGAGAACCCTCACTCCGCACTAAGGAGATGATCGCACCACGTTGTGGTAAAATGGTCAAGCACCCTCGAGGCAGTTACACAGTGCTTACAACTGTCTCTGGAAGTGAAAGCACCAGAAAATAAATTAAGTCATACGCAGCTGTCATCCGTACGCAAGGAAGTAAGCACAAGATGCCGAACACCCTTAGCAGGATGCAGCGCACCCTTCATGCGACTCGCCGAATATCTCACGGCGCTTCGCGCTTGGTGATGTGAGAGCCTGGTCCGGTGAGAACCCGGCGTGCTCCGTCCCGGCTTTGTAAGATGCGAGGTCAATGGTCTAACGACTACGGCATGCACGACTATGAGTACATCCCTCACCCCCCCCTCCCTCCTCTCTACCTCCTCAGAACGCGCAGTACGGAGGCGTCACGGCGCGCGGCTTTCGACAACACGGCGGGAGGCGTCTTGCTGACGGGGTTCTTCTTCTACATCGTCACGAGCACGCTCATCATGGAGGCGTTCGACTGCCAGGACTTCGACGATGGGTCCAGCTACCTCAAGGCGGACTTCCGCATCAGCTGCAACAGCAACAAGTACACCTTTATCTACGTGAGTGGTACTACTGGGTAGCTGTGCCTGTGCAGCGCCGGTGGTGCCCCGCATCCCCTGGGAGGAGGCACGTTACCCTTGCGGCATCTTCTCTTCGTGTGCGTCGCGTCGAAGTCATCTTGGCTCGTGCATACATGAACATTGTTCTTTTTCATGCTGTTTGATTTATTTTTGTAACGGAGCGAGTAGTCTTGCAAGTTTTAGACAAGGTAAGTGCTTGCCCTGCGAGTAATACACATATCCTAGGAATTTTACAAACCTTCTCAGTTGTAGTACCACGGTCGTGTGCCACCTCCGCATGTTTTCCTCGATTTTTGTTTTTTTGTGTGTGTATGACTTCTAGGCTTACGCAATCATCATGGCCATCATCTTCCCGGCGGGCATCCCTGTCACCTACCTGGCCGTGCTGTACCTGGGGAAGGAGCGGATCAACCCCGACCCTGTCAACCCGGAGGTTTCGATCAAGAAGAGAGAATCCGACGCCACCATCAAGAAGACCAAGTGAGTGAGACGGGTAGACGACGGGCTTGCTGGCTGTATGCACGTTTTTGCCTTCAATCAACCCTTGGATGAGCGCACTTTTCCCTCGGGTGCGTCTACGCTTCATGTGGTGCTGGGGTGTTGGAGTAACACACGAAACAACAGCTGAGATGTCTACGACAGTGTCGTACCGGAGTTCTTTTTGGAGCAAGAACACGAGACCATGGTAGAAATCGGGTGTTCAATTGCACCAATCCGGTCTGCACCCCAGCCGTGCTCGCCGTAGGTTGCAGAAGATTGTCAGACGACACAATACCCCGTAACAACGACTGTCTGACAACTTGTATGCGGCACGACTACCGTACAGCAGCGACGGTGTCAAAAATGGCGCCCGTTTCGTCGACGGGCTTTTCTGAAAACGTGTCCTTTTGATGCTTGGCGTTCCTGGCGGAGAAATCGAGCTTTGGGACCGGCCCAGCGGGTGTGGTCCTCTTCCGCAACCTGTGCATGGGGTGTGCGATTTATTGCCTAATTTTTGCTCGACGAACAACTTGCTTTGTCGAACAACTTCGTTGGTCAAACAACTTGCTTGGTCGAACAACTTGCTTGTCGAACGACATGCTTGGTCGAACAACTTGCTTGTCGAACCACTTGCTTGTCGAACGACATGCTTGTCGAACAACTTGCTTGTCGAATAACTTGCTTGGTCGAACAACTTGCTCGCCGTGTTTACTGTGTTGTCTCCGTTCCTCCGTGTGTGTGACGTGTGTGTTTCAGGTTCCTGTGGGGGACGTACCGGCCAGCGGTGTACTACTACGAAGTGTGGGAGTGTGTCCGAAAGCTCTTCCTTACGGGTCTGCTCGTCTACTTCGAGGAGGGAACATCTACGCAGGTGCGTAAGGCCAGCGAGTAAACCACAGGGGCAAAACAAACACTACGGGAGTTACAGAAGAAAACAAAATCAGAACCACGAGGAGGAGGAGGAGCAAAGGGGCCGACGTCACACGCGAGAACAATGCGGAGCGGCGGGAGGCGATTAGCCCCCATCAACGTACCTATCCGTCATGACCCCACCAATGTGTTCTATCCGTCACCATATAAACGTGCCTACAGTAGGTGGCCCGATACATGGGCAACTTTGAATAGTGGAACTGCCCATGTAGTGGCATCAAATCTCTCGTCACAATCTCAACATGTATATGAAGCCGATGTATCGAATAGCAGCCCTGTCCTGAATAGTGGCATTTTCTCCTCCTTGCCTCTAAATGCCACTATGTCGGGCCACCTACTGTATCCGCTAAGCCATCGTTGTATTCATTTCCCCACCAACGTATCCGTCGGGCACCGCGGTGACGGAGTGGCGACAACAGCAGCAGCAGCAATATCCGTAGATAGCGTCAGCTAGTTTTCACTTCCCCTGGCAGCTGTTGCGTGGCAAAACAACCGATCCGCCACGAACTTTCTCACCAAAATCATCAAATGTTCGCCTTGCCAAGAAGGGCTTCGTAACCAATCAGAACACTGAGGGAACCTTCGCTCTGTGTGTGTAGTATCGCAGCACGCCCGGAAGTTCGGCCAAGTCGAGTCCCGAATCGATTCCCAACACCGCGAAGTCGGCGCGCGCGTGTCTGTGTCTGCGATGTTCGTCTGGCTGACGATCTCGACCTTGGCCAGGTGGTAATTGCGATGCTCATCACCCTCGCTGGACTCCGCGTTCTGGCCGGTCTTCAGCCCTACCAGAGGGAAGACGAGAACAACCTGGCCGAGGCTTCGCTCTGGGTGACATTCCTGACGCTGTGAGTATGTTGTGGTGGTCAAGCCTCGAACCCGTCGCACGCTTTTCAAGCGAACGCTGCGCTGCCGAGGCACGATACGTTAAGCGACGGCGAAGCGGTTTGTGTTTCATATGTTTTGTTATCCCAGCATTGGATGATTGTGCCGCAAGCAGCCTCCGCCCGTAGTGCGTTGATGCCTTGGGGCTGTGCACCCGCTTGCGGTCTACTTACCCACTTGTTTCCGTGGGCCTTTTTTTTTCATGCACGATCTGCGACCTCGACGGACTTTGGTTCCCCCCCTTCAGTGTCACACAGTCCGTGGTCCGGCCTTGATCGAGGCGCGGCGGAAAAGGCAACCACTTTTTTTTTTTTTTTTCAATAATTACTGGTGAGTATTTTTTGTCACCCCATTACCGCCGCCCCCCGTACAACACGATAGCTCATTCAACCCAACGCCGGCACGTAGTAGGCTGTGTGGGAGAGATCGCTTGATCCGCAAAAGTCTCCCCACTACAAACCCACTACAAATACGCATGCTAATAGAGTACAATGTAGCACTACACTTTTTTCGAGCTGCGGCTTGCGTGCTGAAGCGATGGTGGTTGCTGACGCTTGATCCACACACATGGCGCCAATGCGCGTTTATTTTTATTTGTTTTTGCTGTAGTTGAATGCGTCGCTCCCTGTTGTCCCCTCCCCCCCCCTCGTTGCGACTCGAGCCTCGGAGCGCGACATCGCTCGCTCGCGTCCCTGTATCGGTCGCTTCGCGCTGTGCTGAACCTCTGGTGTCCCGCGGTTGCATTACTGCTGGTGCTGCCGCCGCTGGTGCTGCCGCAGCTGCTGAATGCTGTCGCTGCTGCTCTTGGTTGCGCTGTTGTTTGTGTTCTGATGCCAAATCAAGGTTTGCGGGGCTTTTGATCAAGGCCGACGTCGCCGATGAGGATGGGTGAGACAGACGGGGAGAAAATGTGTTTGGTTGTGCTCTTTGTCCGTTTTATCGTGGGCTAGCTGGCTGCATCTGTCGTAACTGTACATGTGTGTGCCGTCCAAGTTAGTTCTGGATGTTGACCCAGTCTTTCACCTTTCGGAATGTTTTTTTTGGCGCATCAGCTGGAGTAACACAAGAGCAAGGCACACGGGAACGGTGTTGGTGCTTTAATTTCTCAGCTTCTTTCTTCTACGGCAGTGGTTGCCTCTAGCGCGTGTAGCGACGTTATGTTCGGCGGTTGCTATCCGTCGTCGACCGAGAAAAGCGGGCTTTCTACTCACCAGGTTATCGCCATCCGTATTTGTTCGGGCATATTGCTGTGAGAACAACAACAATGCCAACTGGCCAACTGCTGTTGTGTCTGTGTGCCGAGATTCGAACTATTGTGTCCCAGACGCCTGGAGGCTGCAAGGTTAGGGATACCAACTTGGTGCGTCTAGCTGGCTGTGCCCCTTAGTACATGGCACCTCAGCCTTGACTGAGCCTCTAGTAAGCTGCTGGAAGACAGCACCCGTCGAGGCTTGAGCGCGCCTTTGTTTGACGCGAACCCGCATGTTGTGTAGGCCATGTGGCTCTTGCTTGCTGCGACGCACCGGTAGATCACGTGCACCCTTTCGTCTTGCTTTCGTGGCTCTTCCTCCTCCGTTACAGCTACGACACCGTGGCGTTGGGAGTTATCCTATCGATCATGAACGCGGCCTTGTTTGCATTGGCTGCATTCCAGGTGAGAAATAGAAACCCACGTGTGGCTGTTATTAAACGTTCCGCGGATGTGGGTTCTAGAGGTTACTTTTCGTCGATGCTACATTATAGTTTTGTTTTCATCGGTCGGTCGCGATTTTTTGTCGGTTCTACAGCGTCGCTTTTCGAAGACTGAAATCGAGGACAGTTGCTCGTTTGGCGAACGATGTGTTGCGGGTTTTTGCACCTACCTACTCTCCGGCGGTTGACTCTAGCGAAGAAGCGCGGCAAAGAGATGTATCGATCGATCCGCTCGTTGCAGGTCACAGGGCGGCGAGTCGTGTCTAAGCGGGTCGATGTTGAACGACCCCTTGAATCGAAGACCGTTGACAAATACCTGGTACAAAACGACGGTATGAAACAAACACGGTGCCCCCCCATCCCACCGCAAGAGAAAACATATGAACGCCGTTGATACATAGACAAAACCGCGACATTCGCATGCCACGGTGCTCCCCATTCCACCGCGTGTGGGCCATAGAAAAGCACCCCTGAATAAACCAGTCAACAAGGAAGACGTTTTACGATGGACGTGATGTTTTTGCCGGATGGACCAGTCAGTATCTTGCGGGAAACAATATCTTATGGAATCTTCGTTGCTATTTAGCTTTTACGGACTTGTCGTGCCCGCCTTTCCTTCGATTTTCGGTCTGTGGTTGAAGTCGCGCACATCTTGACGTGCAGCCTTGTTTCTTACGCTTTCGGCAACAAAAAAAAATCAGATCCTGTGGACTACGAGTCAACTCTTCAAGGACACGTGTGGCGGAGCATTCGGAATCGACATCTCAAAGAAGTGAGTTTGTGGCGATGCCACTGTTGATTTTTTTTTTGTTGGCGGTGGTGCCGTTGGCGTGTTTCGCGCGACGCGTCTGGCCACGGTGGAGGTACGCGGCAGAAAAAAAAAAAAACAGCGACACATGTCGTTAGAGAAAGGGATAGCCTGGCAAATGAGCGAGCGGATGGGATGAGCATGTGTGGGCATTTCGGAGGTACGCACAGAAATAATGTTTGACAAGCAGTCATGACACACGCACGCACGCGTTTGGTATCTCTGGAGAGGGTCATCGTACGCTCAAGGAGCGAACAGGTCCCGAAACGAAAGAATCAGCAAGACGAGCGAGGGAGACAAGAGGCGAGGAAGGACCGCGGAGAACAAGTCTGTCAAACATTTCAGGCGGCAGCATTGACACCAGTAGTTGGAGCAAAATGCAAGGCGTGGACATCCGCTCTCTCCGAGCTCGAAATCCACTCTCGACCGACGCTCAGCTGGTGGCTCGCTTGGCTATCGCCCCTGCATCCTACCTACTTCCGTAGGTCCCAAAGAAGAAACGCAGATCCACCAACGGTCAACACAAAATCTGTCGCGTTTGGTTGCCGGGAGAACCTACGGTCGCTTTTTTCTTTTTTCGTCGCGCACCCCGTCATTCATTACTGCAAGGTCGACCTGCACTCCCCACAATCGTGGCTGCTCTCGCAACGCTGCTGTGCTGCACCGAACCGCTTGTACCAACACCACGACAAACTGCATCCGTCACCCAAGCAGGCAGAGGCCGAGTGGGCAAGGGCACAATTCCGGCAGGGTCGGCGAGCAGTACCAGCAACACCTTCGGCAGCAGCAGCAGCAACGGCAGCAGCAGCAGCACGCGCCGCTATCTGCCTCTCCCGAAGCTCGGACCGTAAGGGCCGACCGCCCAGGCAAGTGGAGCGCACATCTTGCGCATAGTTGTAGCAATCTGTGTTGCAACCCTTGCTTGTGTCAAGCCGCGTTTGGGATGAGCTGAGCTTGTCTTACCTTAGAACCGCTGAAAATCAACGGCTGCATTGTTTGTCCTTGGTTAATATGTCGCGTCTTGATTGGTCGACTTCATGACGTGTTGAGCGGGATAGCGAGCGAGTCTCCGGGAAAGTTGCGTTTGGCCGCCGCCGCCGCCGCCGCCGCGTACTCGCCGCTGATGCCCCCCTTGAGCTACTATCCCGCATAATTCTTCGGTTGGTTTCGAAACCGCTCGCTTTGATGTAAAATACATCCAAACGGTGGGGGTTGATGTCCCCCGCCGCCGCCGCCGCCGCCGCCGCATTTTTTTCTCGCGTCCAACGGTCGGAGTTGATGTTTCCTCCCCCCCCCCCCCCCCCCCCCCCCCCCCCCCCCCCCCCCCCCCCCCCCCCCCCCCCCCCCCCCCCCCCCCCCCCCC